GTTACTTTTCATTGACATTGAGGAAATGGACCCTGCATATGAGGATCATGAATATCCGGTTGGTCTTATGAGTAGGAATTTATAAAGCTCGACTTTCTCAGCCTCCTTAAGCTTCACAAGACGATTCTACACGGATTAATGCATTACCAGAATGGAAGAACCTTTTATTGGAGATTTTCATCATGTTATCACCTCTTTCAAACTATTTACATTTCTAATCTTTGCAGTTGATCCTCTTGATCTTGAACTCAATTTTTACATTTTACCTGCTGAAATTTTTGGCAATCACATGTTACTGTTGATTCCATTGAAATAGAGTTGACTAGAATCAGGGAGTGCAAAAAAGGCTGTTAAATTATTTTCCTGGGTTGTCAAATGCTTTATATTCCTACGGAGTTAGGCTTAATGACCACAAAGAATTATCTCAGTACGAGAACATTTAAAATGTAGGAACTTTTTAAGCACTCGCCCATGCACGACTTCATATGATCTGCAGTTTCTCTTTGGTAATTCTGAAAGACTGCATCCACATTGCAGACGTTGCTTTTTTCTATTTGAACCACTGATCTTTTGTTTTATACCTTTATGCTGATTATTCCTAGATCGTGACTGATGCCATTTTCCATCAGTTTATGAAGGGGTGAAGTCCTTTTACAAGGAAGATGATGAAACTGTACCTGTAAATGTTTATGGGAAATCAAAAGTGGCAGCAGAGCAGTTCATTTCTGAAAAGTGTTCAAACTTTGCAATTTTAAGAAGCAGTATCATCTTTGGGCCACAGACAGTCTCACCGGTTCCAAAATCTCTTCCAATTCAGGTGTGTATACTGAAAACGGACCTTAAGTTGTATTTTTGCTAGTTTGTTGTCGATTAGTTTTGGACCACCTGCTAATTCGATACAAGAGAATAATGAATATAAAGATACAACTTAGTAAATCCGACCCTGGTACTTTACTTTGAGTCAAATCAATGATTTTCATGTGATTAATGTAGTGGATTGATGGTGTCCTCTCCAAAGGAAATACAAGCGAGTTCTTTCATGATGAGTTCCGTTGCCCTGTGTATGTAAAAGATGTTTTAGCTGCCATACTAGCTTTGTCCAAGAGATGGATATCAGGTATGAAGTTCATAACATTCATACTTTCATACTTGTTGGATCAACAAAATTTCTGGACCTGCAATATGTTTCCATTTTTGTTAAATAGTTTTTTCTTTGTCTCTATGATACTATGGGTATTTTTTACTTTCTATGCTTTCACTTATGTATTGATGGTTGTGAACTTGTGATATTCATGGAATTGCTGCAGACAGTAAGCAAACAAAGTTGCTACTAAATGTCGGTGGACCAGATAGGGTATCCCGTCTTCAAATGGCTGAGACTGTTGCAGATATTAGGGGATACAATCCCTCATTGATCAAATCAGTGTCTGCATCATCAGTACGTGTACTTTGTACCAATTGTAGTTCTTGTCATGCTCAAGATACATAGTGATCAACACCTTTGTTGCATTACATTCTGAATCACAAACATGTCACTCATCAGTTTCAAGTTGCATTCAGATGACTTGATTTCCACGTTGCCTTGCGTTTGCTTGCCAACAAAAACCCTTCTTCTTTTCTTTTTTGGTGATGAGGAAAACCCTTCTGACTTTGCCTCACTAGCCAATTTGTTTACCCGAAATTTTGTGTACCTGAGAAATGTGTTGTACTTTCAGGTTGATCGTGGAGTAGAGTCTCCTGCTGACATATCCATGGATATCACTAAGCTGGTTCAGACACTTGGTGTTACTCCTACTTCATTTAGAGATGGTGTCAGATTGACGCTTTCAACGGAGGTTAAGTCTTGATGCCCTGAAGATATCGTAAATTGCATCCTAGTTGTAGTACTAAGGAATAAAAATCATTTTCTGTTCTACTGGATTGGGAAAAAATATCGTTAAAATTGTTCCGAAGCAACCAACTTTGTACCCAAGAAACTTCAAATGTATACTTAAAATTTGCCGTTCAAAATTGTATGAAGGTACATACATTCATTGATTGAATTATTTGACGGGCATGAGCTCATCTAAATTGTATGCACAAACGTAAATAAGGAGGGCTAAATTTGTCTTGCACCATGCTTAACTAATAGATAGTTCCAATCTCTATTGGTCACCACCAGACACATAAGAGAATTCTAAACCCTAATTCATACTACTTAACATGAAGTCAATAAATTATGGTTTATCACTACTTATCAAGAACGGTTAGCACAAATGTTAAACATATCAAACTAGTGTCAAATACGAATGATTCAATTCTGGCCCGTCAACTTGATTAGCTGTATTTGTTTAAAAAATAAAATAAAATGAAATAAAATTCTCGATATTGTATATTTCTTCAACCAACCCAAATGCATCAAAGCTTGTCAAGTCATTTGACACGATTAATTAAACCGAATGACCCTTTTAGAACTGCCTCCGTAAGAAGCACTTTTGCTGATAAAATGTACTAATAAAAAGCACTTGCTACTAGTTGCTTTTCTATATACCGCTTTTATGACTCGTAAATAATTTTAAATTTTTCTGCTAGATGTTTCTAGAAACGCTTTTAACTATTTCAGAATCAGTTCCGAACATGCATGATTGACTCAACTCGATTGCCACCCTAGCTATTTGGGCCTTCAGAGCATCAAAACATTTGGGCTTCCACAGCTTCAAGAAATTTGGGCCAATCCGAAACCTTGTATCTTCCAACGTACAGTTGGAAAAGACGGCCAATACAATTGCACAGTTTCAGTGAGCACCCAAACGCAGCTCTTTGTCCCCTTCAGCTGAATCGGCTCTACAACGCGCCTCAGTTTGGTTCGTCCACATTCAATCCAAACCCCTATCCTTCAATTCTCGTACGCAATCTGATATATGTGCTTCAGAAGATTGAGAAAATTAGGGTTTCAATTTGTTTGTTATATGATTTTCTGATCCATTTCCTGTAATTGCGCAGCAGAGAAAGAAAGGAGAGTATTGACGATCGGGCATGGGAGGAGGTGAACATGCACACGGAGATGGGGCCCACGGAGACTTCAGGGCCAAGGTGTGGAGCATGAGTGGGGGTCCGTACTGCAGGCCCAAGCACTGGAAGCGCAACACCGCCATCGCCATGGCCGGCATCTTCCTTGTCTGCATTCCTATCGCCATGAAATCTGCCGAGCTCGAGGTCTTTTTTTATTACCTAATCTCATCCCTATATTTTTCCTCTCGTTTCGTTAAAATGTTTTTAGATTTCCGTTTGGTTCTTGAGAAAATGTAGAAATCTGAAGGAATACAAGTTTTGGATCTTGGATTATATAATTGTTAGGACCTGAATGCTCACTAAGCTTGACTGAACTGAACCTAGCTATCATAACTTCTTTGGATTTAGTTGCGGTTTAGATTTTTTCTTGGTGAAATTAAGCAAATAACTACCTATGTACGCCTTCCAGATTTATTTTGTGAAATAGTCAGTTGATTTTTTCTCCATGGTTTGTGGGAGTAATGAGGAGTACAGTGGATTATATACGTGAAATTAAGCAAATAACTACCTATGTACGCCTTCCAGATTTATTTTGTGAAATAGTCAGTTGATTTTTTCTCCATGGTTTGTGGGAGTAATGAGGAGTACAGTGGATTATATACAAGCTGATCCGGGATTACGGGTATTACTAGTTCTGATCAGGGTGGAAGATTGTCATCGTGGTTGTAGGTTTGTCAACTTGTGATTGAAAGGGTCTTGCTTTGCAATGTGAGTGGTAGACTTGGAAAAATTGAGTAAACAGATGAATTTTGGTTAATGTATGAGTATAACCATAACTTCAATGAACAATTAAAATGTGATGGTGATAGCTGTGAGTTAGAGTTCTTCAAAACTTAATGATGCTTTAACCTGAAGGGAAAACTCATGAAATCTAGTATCTGAGATAACTAGAGGATGGAATTAAGATATGCTTAAAAAGATTCCGTGGACCTGAGTAGGCGTTGCTGTGACATGCTTTTTGAACTTCATTTTGATTTGGATAAAAGGTTTGCCAGCTTGAGTGCTTCCTGTCCTATTGTTCTTGGGCCTCCTGTAATCAATTTTCTAGATAAGTATGACCTATTAAATACTTAACAAGCTACTAGTATTAGAGACCTTCATACTAAAAGTGGTTTTTCATTTTAATGAACTGTAAGATGTTCCTTGAGATTCATTTTTTATTTATTTATAAAAATATGAGAAGCGTTGAGTTTCATTTAGTTATGGACTTTTTATTGTTATAGAACATTACATACGTTTTGGCACCTGTAAAGTTGTTCTGTTACAACAGTTCAATTATAAAAAAAATTCTGCACAAAGATGTTGTAACTTATAAATGGTGACATATATCTTATTTTTTCTGATAACAATGCACATGGGCGGAAATTATTGACTCTTATGTGCCTTTAATTGATGTAATTTGTGGTAGGGTTTATGATTCTTTTTTGGCAGTAAAAATCTGCTTGTGCATACTTGCTGACTTTGATAAGATTGTTACATTTCACGGTGTTAACATTAATTTTTTGCTAAACGTACTGTCCGGAAGATCCAAGGGTCTTTAGAAATATTTTTTCCAAGTAGGGTAGGCTTTTTCTTTTTGGTTTTATCTTAGTGTGAACAAGAATGAGCATTTTGGGAATTATTTTTTTGGAAGATTCCCTAGATTCTTGACCTGAGTAGTCTAGAAGCTCAACTGTTAAAACACAAAACATTGTTGATACTAATTTCTAGGCTTGTTTCTTATACTTAAGTTATTGAAGATTAGGGCTAAAGTGCATGTTTCCTTGTTATGGACGTAAACTTATGTTCTACTCTAAACAGCCACTCAATAATAGATACGTTCTAGCTGAAGCCCCTAGCCTAAGGATGCATACAGTATTAGATTACTAGCTGGCCAGAACAATTATGTCCATGCCCTTGTTGAAGTATGACGAATCACATCCATCTTTGCTTACAGATTTTTAATGCCTGGGAAATAACGTTGTTTAGTTGTTGGTTAGCCATGTCATACTTTTTATATATCATGAAAACTTTATGTAACTAAAAAACGTTAAGTGGTTCATATTAATATTTTATTTCCTTGGAATAATGACAGAAGGATATGTTGTTTAGTTTCTTTGCATCAGCAAAAGGTTGTCTTTGTTATATTATATCTTTGGGGTGCTTCTTATGCTTAATAGTCCTTAATAATCCTCTTATTCTAAAAGATATTCCTTAATAATGCATGTAAGTGGGCTTAAGTTTTTTAATTACTTATCCCAAAAGGCAAACATTTCTGGTGGGATCAGATGCTGTTCCTCTTGAATGGATTTGAGCCACACCCTTTCTATGGTTGAATGACTGAAAATGTTCATAAACTTGGTAATTATTAGTTCTAAGAGGACTTATATCTTATTGCAGCAACGGCCACATAATCCTGTGCGCCCTATCCCATCACAACTCTGGTGCAAGAACTTTGGAAACAAAGACTACTGAGTTTATTTAGGACCGTCGGGTGAAAGCAGTACCAGCAGAGGTTGGGTATCTAAATCTTGCAGAACGCAAATTATTCCTTGTATTGGATGTTTGCAGAGAATATGAGCAGCCTTTTAACACATGTTGTGTTCATGTTTTCGTAATCTTGAATTTGTTAGTGATTATGTGAGTTATTATTCACTATGCTATACTGTCAATCTCCAAAATAAATTGTCTACCTCTGTGTCTAGCTTTTGTTAATAAAGTATTTGAATTGGCCTTGGTTGATATTGTTTGGTTGCCATAGAATCTTCAAATATTTACAAGACAAGAAAGAGGTCTAGACATTTAAAGCCAAACCACATGTTTGAGGGATAAATGGGGAAATAAGAAAAGGTGTTGGAGTAGATTTACCCAATTTCAGGTTGCCACAGGCTAGCAGTCAATATATGCTCAAAAGATTTTGTTCTGTTGCATCACTCAAATGGAATCAAATTCCAATCTGCTTGACTTTGAATTCATTGGTTTTTGCTCATACAAAGTATATAAAACTTTTGATTTGGCAGCGACGTGCAGGTCAATTTTGGCCATCTGAAGCTCCTAGATTGCTTCCAACATTTACTTTTTTAAATTTTTGTATAATTTTTTTAATACCCAACCCTAGCCGCTAGGTAAGGTTCTTGCACATTTATTCTAAATTCCCTCCACACACAACATGCACAAGAAAAATTCTTCTTTTACAATCTATCGGGGCAGGTTTCTACTACTAGGGGTGTGCATCCAAACCGGAAAACCGAGTCGAAGATATAAGATTAAATAATTAATTTTATTGATTAGAAGGGACAAAGGAATAATTAACTTGACAAAGTAAAATTATACGTAGTTGGAGATATTTGTTAGGGGGAAGTGCTCTTTCTTTCTGAAGACAAGACTGAGTTTGGTGTTCAGCCAATTCGATTCGATCATTCTCTACAATTATTATTATTTATAGATTATCAGTTGTCATGCCTCGTGACTTCTGCACAGCCAGCCACAGCGCAAAAAAGCTTTGATTTGACCTTTCTCCCCCAATAATTGTCATATCAATTACGTCATAAAAATCACTTTTATCCTCCATCCATTCGTAAAAAGCTCTGAGTCGGGCTTAAATTATCCGAATTTTCACTTTGAATTCATTCTGTAAATTATCCGAATTTTCACCTTTGAATTCATTCTGTAAATAATTAAGTTGAGATTTCCATCCATGGATTACTTGTCATGCATGTGTTTCGGGTTTATTGCATCACTGTAGGTTTGTTTTTTTTAAGTCTCTCATGATTTGGTTAAGATGAATAATGTGCTTTCCAACAGTCATTTTCTTGGGTTGAGTAGTGTGCTTGGGTCCTGCCTTTCATGTTGATTTTGGGGAAGTACAAGGCTCTCATGGGCTCTACCACTCTTTTGAGAAAAAAAAGAAAAAAATTGGTGTTAATAATCAGCACGTTATATAGCCTAATATTGCCCAAAGTAAACAATTACCCTACCCTTAAAAGCCTAACTTTACTTCCATTCCTTGCCATAAAAACAAAAAAAAAAAAAAAAAAAATCAGTCCACCCCGATATGAATACCTAGTTTCACCCTTATAAAGGTCTTCCGTATTTTTTGAGGTGTCTCCACATTCGAAGGGTGTGATTAATCTCCACTCGGAATTCGGCTTGCCTAACCACAAAGTGCTTTCAACGGGTTTCGAATATCTACCATTGATATATTAAATAGCTTGCCAATTGGATATGATAGTTTGCCAACCGCACCACACCTTGTAATTAGCTTCAATTTCTTTCACTATAGCTTATCAATCCTTAAACTATTTTGTGATTCGCAAGCTTTGTTACAAACTTTAAAACCCCTATAGATTCTATGTTACTCGAAAGGATATTTTTTCGGAAACCCCAAAAGTAACAAAAAATAGTCACATGGTAAAATCCACATATGTAGATGAGTCAGCATTTCTCAGTGGTCCCACAAGAAGCAGCCGACGCTTTTAACCCAAGCCAACCCAATCCAATCCAATTTAACCCAACCCAACCCAACCCAACCCAGTTCTTAGGGCGTCTCTCCAGTCAAACTCGTCCGCTTGCCAATCCACAGTTCGCAAATGAACCCTCTCTCTCTCTCTCTCTCCCCCCTATTTAAAGGACCACATTCGCCTATATACGCCGCTATCACACTGCCCGATGTTCCTTCGGGCAGCTTTCCCTCTTCTTCTCTGACCACCCACAGTCCTACTTCCGCGTATTCTCTACCTGCCCAAAAATCCCGGTCAGCTCTACTCTCTCTCTATTCCAATTCAACAGCTTCTTCAACTCATCAGCAAAGCTGCTTCTATTTTCACAGACACACACACACGAGTCACGACCTTTGGACCAAAGAAAACCCCTCAAAAAAATATATATATTAATATAAAAAGCAAAATTATAATAGTCAAAATAAAAAGGGGTTCGAAAATAAAATGCCTTTACTATAAATACATCCCAAGTCACACTCAGTCGAAAGCATTGGTTTTATTGTTGTTACTCCTTTTTTGGTGATTTTTTCTGTTATCTCTGAGCTGAGCTTTTTGCGAGGATGGATTAGGAGCTCGTGCTGACTTTGAGTTTTCGTTTTGGAAATTCCTGTAGGGCTCGCAGAATGTGGAACGCAGCGCGATTCGCCGCGTCCAGTTTGACCCGATCGACCAGGCGCTTCTCCACGGCGATTCCTGGTCCCTGTATTGTCCACAAGCGTGGCGCTGATATTCTCCATGATCCCTGGTTCAATAAGGTTCGAAAACAACAGCCTTCTCTTTTGTTCATTGATTTGAGTTGAGTTTAGTGTATGTTCATCAGACAGAGTTTCTTGATTCTGAAAGTAAATGTGAAGTTTTATTTTAAATTTTGGAGAAATTTTAGTTGTAAAACTGATTGAGCTTTGGTGAATTAAAAAAAATACAAACTTAGTCCAATTTGTGAAGTGGATGATGCCTCAAAGTTTGATGATTTTTTTTGCCTTATTGGGTTTTAATTCTCTGTTCTGAATGTTTGTTTTCCTCAAGAGCAGGACACTGGATTTCCTTTGACAGAAAGAGATCGACTTGGGCTTCGGGGTCTCCTCCCACCTCGTGTCATATCGTTCGAGCAGCAATATGCTCGTTTCAGTGAGTGTCTTACACAATCTCTCCAAGTAGTACACATTTTAATATTGTTTGGCTAGAATTTTGGTTATTATTCTTCAAAGAAATCTATTGGGGTTCATCTTTATAGCACTTGACATACACTAAGCTAGGAGACTTCAATCAATAAGTTAGTTTACGAATGATATATTAGCCCTTGAGGAGATTTTGTTTATAAGTTTTGTAGCTTTGGCATTGAGGCCTTGTTTATGTAATGACATTACCATCTGATTTAACTTGTTAGTGGAGTCGTATCGGTCTCTAGAGAAAAATACTAAGGGCCAACCAGAAGGTGTTGTTGCCTTGGCTAAATGGAGGATCTTAAACAGGCTGCATGACAGGAACGAGACCTTATACTACCGAGTAAGTTTTGGTTTATATTTCCAGCATGTAGATATTGTAGAACTTTATATAATCTATCATCATTTGATGTGGTTTTCCATTACTTTCTTTTCCAGGTCCTTATTGATAACATCCAAGATTTCGCTCCTGTAATTTACACTCCTACAGTAGGATTGGTATGTCAAAATTATTCAGGGTTATTCAGACGTCCACGTGGAATGTATTTCAGTGCAAAGGATAAAGGGGAGATGATGTCTATGATCTACAATTGGCCAGCTCACCAGGTAGATGCTACACTCTTTTGTTTTTCTACCTTACAACAAAGTTGTGCATGGTCAATAATTTTCGAGGGCCAGTCATAAGCTCCAATGATCTTGATGTTTCTCTATTGGGATGTCCATGATTTTTCAAGACATCAAAATACTAATTTTTTTATATTATTCCCTCTGTCTCTAAGTTATGTTGTATTTGGTCTTCATTTTCCACTTTATTGCAGGTAGACATGATAGTCCTGACAGATGGCAGTCGTATCCTTGGCCTAGGTGATCTTGGAGTTCAGGGAATTGGAATACCGATAGGAAAACTTGATATGTATGTTGCTGCAGCTGGCATTAATCCACAGAGAGTATGCTCCTGCTCTCTCTCTCTCTCTCTCTCTCTCTCTATACACACACACACACACACACACACACACACACACACATTATACACAATAAGCTTATTTGAGAGACACTCTTGTAGGGCCCACTCCGTATTTTATTTCATTCAAAGATCATCTCTACAAAAAATCATTTGAATCCAATATCATTTGACAACTCAATTGAATTATTGAAATTTTAGTATTTTCTTAAAGCACCGTGTTCATTGATTTTGTAGGACACAATTGGATGTCGAAATGGTTTCCGATTTGTCTAATTTTTTGCAAGGATCATCTATGAATATAGACTTAAAAAATAGATTGTTTGGATCGTTGAAAAAAAAAAATTTTGTAGGGGACCCTAAAGGGTGTCCCTCAAATAAAATTATTTGAGGGATCCCTCAATAGAAGGGGACTGTGTGTGTGTGTATTTTATGCATGCACGTGTGTGTGCACATGCTTATTTCTATGTGTGTGCGCATAACACACTGATTCAACATAGCTAAGTCTATTTGGTTTGGACTATATAACAGTCTTGGAGTCTACATTTTATGTTTCTGCTATTATTCATATTACACTTTTCTTGGTAAATAAGCAGTTTGGCTAGCTTTTTGATCACTAACCTCTGTACCCCTGTGACAGATACTACCGGTTATGCTTGATGTTGGTACTAACAATCAAAAGCTACTTGAAGACCGTCTTTGTAAGTAAAATATGAAGTAAATATCTTTCCTTTAATTGCATGGTTCTTTCTAATCTTTTTTCTTTTCTTTTCTTTTCTTTTGTTAAATCCTTGTTGATACTGTATTTCCTGATTAATACATTCAACTGAACGCAACTGTAGCTTCAGCGATTTACAATATGTTTAAGTTCTTGTAAGGCAACATAGTGATACTGAATGTTCACTCTGTCTGTTTTCTCAAGCATGAATTACCCTGTTTTGAGTGATAAATTGACGCCCAAAATATGACTCAGGATAAGCATGTAGTTTGACTAGTGCATGTTAGAGTTTATTATTATTTTTTTTAATTTCTAATGAATTCTAGTTAATAATATCATGTTATATTCTTGGTTTTTTTTTCTTTCTTTCCATCTTTACACTGAATGACTGGACTTAATGC